CACAGCTAATGGCGTAAAACAGTCTAGTTGTTTGCATTATTCTTATTCTCGACATAGTTAGATTTATTATATTATTATTATATTATATTATATTATATTATATTATATTATTATATTATATTATATTATATTATATTATATTATATTATATTATATATATATTATATTATATTATATTATATTATATTATATTATATTATATATATTATATTATATTATATTATATTATATTATATTATATTATATTATATTATATTATATATATATATTATATTATATTATATTATATTATATTATATCTATTATATTATATTATATTATATTATATTATATTATATTATATTATATTATATTATATTATATTATATTATATTATATTATATTATATTATATTATATTATTTATATTATATTATATTATATTATATTATATTATATTATATTATATTATATTATATTATATTATATTATATTATATTATATTATATTATATTATATTATATTATATTATATTATATTATATTAATTATATTATATTATATTATATTATATTATATTATATTATATTATATTATATTATATTATATTATATTATATTATATTATATTATATTATATTATATTATATTATATATTATATTATATTATATTATATTATATTATTATATTATATTATATTATATTATATTATATTATATTATATTATATTATATTATATTATATTATATTATATTATATTATATTATATTATATTATATTATATTATATTATATTATATTATATTATATATATTATATTATTATATTATATTATATTATATTATATTATATTATATTATATATATATATTATATTATATTATATTATATTATATTATATTATATTATATTATATTATATTATATTATATTATATTATATTATATATATTATATTATATTATATTATATATATTATATTATATTATATTATATTATATTATATTATATTATATTATATTATATTATATTATATTATATTATATTATATTATATTATATTATATTATATTATATTATATTATATTATATTATATTATATTATATTATATTATATTATATTATATTATATTATATTATATATATTATATTATATTATATTATATTATATTATATTATATTATATTATATTATATTATATTATATTATATTATATTATATTATATTATATTATATTATATTATATTATATTATATTATATTATATTATATTATATTATATTATATTATATTATATATTATATTATATTATATTATATTATATTATATATATTATATTATATTATATTATATTATATATATATTATATTATATTATATTATATTATATTATATTATATTATATTATATTATATTATATTATATTATATTATATTATAGTATATATATATTATATTCTATTATATTATATTATATTATATTATATTATATTATATTATATTATATATATTATATATATATTATATTATATTAGACACTAAATTACCACAGAAAGAAAAAGGCTACTACTATTGTCAGGTGTCACAATATATTTTATACAAATCACATTTTTGCCTAAATTGTCCAGAAAATGGTCGAAAACGGTATTTTACCTTTAGTTAAGCTTTTTATTGCTCTCTATTATAGTTTTACGATTTTTAACGACATTTAACGTAAATTGGCGTTGTATCAATTGAAATAGGGGATGGGAATAGAATTGAAATTGAATAGGAAAATAGGAGTACTTAAGCAATCTATTTTTTAAATATAGAATTAAAATTTAATCTATACCCTAACAAAGCGGTCGTGTCCCTTCCTCGCCCTATGACATTTGGTCCTTCGAGCAAGATAGAAAATCTCACCTTCTCACAAAACACAAAAGAAAAGTTTCTATATATATAGCATGGTCTATCCCTAGTTTTAACAACAAAATTTTGCAAACATCTACATATCTAAATATATTTATATTTATATATGGCCTTTTATCTTTTTTTCCAACAATTCGGGGAGGAAATGCTGTGGTTTCGGAAATATCCACCAATTCTGTCAATTTCCTTTGTTTATTTCGGTGATATATTCTTCACAAGCGTTTTTCAAAATAAAAAACAGTTTTATTTCAAATTGATCACAAATGGCCGAAGAGTAACCACAACTATCGCACACAAATATTTTTTGACAGAGGCTTTCAAGCTTCTAAAAGTCATAAAAGCCATTTCGATCGTGAATTGCTGTTAAAATGTGCAAAATATTGAATCTCGCCTTAGAAAGGTCCGAAAGCATAAAATGCCAAGTTGAAGCCTATTCGCTTGACTGTAAATAGGTAGTATTATTATGTGGCAACTACTTGCATCGTTTTCAAATTTTTTTCGTATGGAGTTGAAGACAAAATTATTGCCCGTCAGTTAGAAAATGCGGTCAAAACCATAAAACCAGAAAAAAATTGGTATGGAGTTGACGTACTAAATGATAACCCTAAATAGTAAATTATAATCAATTGGTCGGAAAATGCGACCAAACCCTTCAAAATGTTGACTGATTTGGACCTTTTAAGAACTTTAAATTTCAAATTGCAGGTATTTCCATTGGAAAATCACATGAAACGCACAAACCCCATATGGGGATAATTTTATATGAGACCAATGCCTAAACGTAGGCCAATATTACCCATCTTCGAATAAAAATCACTCCTATTCTGCTAGAATTTTAGATTTGGTCCTTTACAAACACAAAGAGATAGTGCATTGTATCATATCTATCATAAAATATATTTTTGAGGCAATTTATGCAAGTCCGTCCCTCCATGTGTCCAAGTATTTTTGTAATAAATGTAAGAGGCCACATTTATAGCCCGATAAAGATGGAATTTTTCAAAGTTAATTTATTTATACCGGGAGCTAACTCTATTGAAATAAGTGAGATTTGTTTTAAGTTTTTCTATTGTTCAAATACACAATTTAACCCATTCTCATGTCTATTCAAATGCATAATATCTTTTGGAATAAAATGGCTTTTATCCATACAATACTTTGCACTCGAATTCGAGCAGGAGCACTCCTTGAAGAAAGAAAAAAAATCTAGCATACTCTATTTTTCAATGTTACTTAAATTAGAGCGAGCATAAGTTTTTCGTTTTTGAGTGAAAAATAGCTCAACATCGAACAGATTCTACTCTTGTATTTGTTATTTCGTTGTTATATTTGTAAAAATATTTATTTCTTAGCTCACATCTGCAAACAAAACAAAGCCAAATACATTGAAGAACATCAGTCGGACATATGCGTCTTCTGTTTCGCAGAGCTGTAGATGTGTGTATCTAAAATTATAATTGAAGATAAATTTTCTGCGCCAAAAAAAAAAATAAAGAAATATTGGTTTTGCCATTTTTATACCCTACACCACAAGGTGATGATCTGCATAGAACCACATTATGAGTTGATTTATGCATGTCAGTCCGACCGTCTGTCCATGTATTTTTGTGAACAAAATGCAGGTCGCATTTATTATCCGATTGAGATGAAATTTTCCAAACAACATTTGTTTGGCCAAAGGACAAACCCTATTGAAATTGGAGATAATCGGCAAAAATTTAGATAAAGCTCCCATATATATCTTCGTCCGATTTGCCTTTTATTGTGCACCTAACGTGTAATATCAGCCCGAATAGTATGCAATTTTGCACATATAACCAAATTAAGCCTGAACATAAGTATGCCAAATTTGGTGAAGATCGGTTCAGATATAGCTATAGCTCCCATATATATTGTTCATCCGATTTGTTATTTTTGTCGTCCGCAGCCGTAATATGCACTCTGTAACAACAATATTTGGAGAAATACATTTAATACGGCTCAGAAATACCTTTGCTAAATTTTATCGAGATCGGATCAGATATGGATATAGCTCCCATATATAACTTCGTCCGATTTACCTTTGATTGTGCACCAAACGTCTAATATTTGCCCAAATTGGATGAAATTTGGCACTTACGACCGAACTGAGTCTAGAAGCTAGTATGTCAAATTTGGTAAAGATCGGTTCAGATATAGCTATAGCTCCCATATATACTGTTCATCCGATTTGTCATATTTGTTACTCACAGCCGTAATATGCACTCCGTAACAACGATATTTAGGGAAATATATGAAATACAGCTCAGAAATATCTTTGCCAAATTTTATCGAGATCGGTTCAGATTTGGATATAGCTCCCATATATATCTTTATCTGATTTCAAATTAATTGTGCACCAATTGGGCAAAACAAGTCCGAATTTAAAAGATACAAGTGCTTCGACATATTTAGTATTTTGAACTTTAAATTATAATTATAATCATAGCGTGTATGATTGAATTCTCCCATAAATCCTTTTATTTGTTATGTGGAGCTCTACTAAATTAGCAAAGTGGTGTAGGGTATCATAAAGTCGGCCCCGCTCGACTTTAGGACATTCTTTACTGGTTTAATTTGTTTAAGTTTTACTGTTCTCATGCGGGGACGTACATACACCTCTTCAAATTAAACGCCGTGTTGACATCACTTTTGTTAATGTCTCCAATTGCAAAAATATAAACAGCAGTATTATGGAAATGAAACGAAATAGGAATGAAACATACAAGAGGTTTGTTTACATTTTCTTGCAAGGTGAAGTGAGTGGCAATGGTCAGAAAATGCATACAGCTACGGCTGGCTCTCTCTCTTGTGCTCTCTCTTTATTTGACTCTCCTGTGTACAATGTTAGTGAGCCCAACCAAGAAACAGTTAACGAAGGCATAACTAAAAAAGTCACCACCACTACAAAATAAACCATTTATGGCGGTCGTTGAGAACAACTAGGAAATGAAACAAAATACAATGCTGCTGCCGCTTGGCGATGGTGTGCAAGGTGGTTTCTGCTGTTGTTATTGTTGTTTTCGTTTTCTGTTGTTTTCCCATTTCTCACCAGGTTCCATTCTCACTTGGGTTTTATGTTTTAGTCTGTTTTTGTTTCGCAAACGGTTATATCGGAATTTGAAGTGCGGTTTCTTTTCAATCCACGGTATTTTGTTTTTTTATGAGAAAGAAAACAATGAAATTTGCTTAAATTAAAGTGCAAAAATTAGCAAATTTAAGTCGCAGCTCCTTGGAAATTGTTGTCAATTATTGAAATGGAAAAAATTTGAAGTCAATTGAAAGTAAAAATTGTTGTGAAACTGAAATTTGGAAGCAAATTGTGAATCAATAGCCATTCTAAGCTAAAAATAACTGTGGAAAGTGGCAACAAAAAGTGCATCTGTCAAACGTGGGGATATTCCAAATAAAAATGTCAAAGTTGAAGAGGTCTACATTTTGGTTCTCAATGAAATTGTTTTCTTCTTCTCCTTCGGGTGTGGGTGTGAGAGAGCGTGTGTGAAATACAAAGTGTGAAATTGATTCTAGAAGTGCCCTAATAACTTAAAAATCTCCAATTGGAATTAAAAACATAAGATATTCTGGAAATTCTTATAAGAATAAAATCGCAGTCTTAATTAAAAAATATAAAAACTGGTATTCGAAAAAAATATCCTTAAAGAAATACCCCAAAACGAAAAAAGTGTATAACAACAATGAATTTAACCACGACAGCAGCAACAACAGCAAATTTAGAAACAACCTTCGGCTCCCTGACAGCAGCAGCAGCCTCCTCAAAATCAACAACTGCAGCAGCATTGCAAAATTCACAGCAACAACAACAAGAAATGCCGTCAGATGTTTTGTGCGCCAACGCATCATCCATTGCTCCGGTCTCTTCTTCTTCTTCCTGCTTATCGGCATCGTCCTCTGCAAACATTCTCAAAGAGCGGCAGCAGGAAAACATTGAAAATCAAGAACAACTCCCCACCAGCACCCTGGCTGGTGCTACCACCATTAAAATCCCAGTGACAGCCGACCACCCAACAAAAATGGACACTTCACCACCACAATTATCGTCGAAATTTTTGGCTAAAAGCCAAAATAATTTAACAGCAAATGAGCAGCAACAACAACATCATGTTCAACATCTGTTATTGGATACAGCAACAACAACAACAAAAACGGCAGCAGCCGCCACGACAGTAGCTACCTCATCTTCAACAATAATTGATAGTGGGCGTGGGTCTGTCAATGAGTGTGATTCTTCTTCTTCGGTGGAGGATATTTTTCCCCGAACCTCTGTCGCCGACAGTTCGGATCGTCAAGTTAGCAAGAAGCCTTGCACTTTGGATTTCTATGCCAGCCATGGCTCCCAAACCAAATGGTATCTACCACCCACCACGGTTACGACCGGTCCATCAGATGTTATTAAAATTAATATCACCTCGGATATGGACACCTGTTTAATGACAATTTCAACGGCCAGCATTGCCGAGCCGGAATCTTCGACGGTGACGCCACCCTTCGAATCGCAGACCGGTAATGGAGAGGAAGGTGATTATGATGAGATGTCGGCAGCAAATGATAAAATGTAAGTAAAGGGCAAATCAGAAAGAAGGGAGCGAGGAGGGAGGGGTTTACTTGGAATTTTCAAAGTAAGAGACACTGAATAAACAAGGTAGAAGGTCCTTGGTAGCACCACACAGGGTATGGAGGTTATAATAATTTCGTCATTCCGTTTGTAACTCAACGAAATAATAATTTTAGACCTTGATCAGCGTAAAATTCTAATTGAGGTTGCGTCTGTCTGTTCGTCTGTTGTAATCACGCAAAAGTCAAAACGAAGATAGGAAAATTTGCACAGGTTCGTCTTTTGTCTGCAGGTAGGTCAAGTTAGAAGATGGGCTATATAGATTCACGATATCGTATAGCCCCCATATAACGGCATCCTCCGATATTCGGTATTTTTATGATTGCAGACAAATTTTTCAATAAAGTTGTCTGAAAATCTACAAAAGGAGCTTCTTCGGAATACTTTACCCCCTCGAAGAGTATTGTCTATATAGATCCACGATATTGTATATCCCCCATGTAACGGTACCTCCCTATATTCGGTATTTTGCTGATTTCGATGAGAGCAAAAAATGTCGGAAATAGCATCAAATTTTGGAATAAGTTTAGATTTTTTTCGAATTGGTCACCTTTGGCACGCCATTCCCGGCGAAGCGCTTGCTTGAGGTGATCGACACTTTGATATTTTTTAGTGCCAACCTTGCTTTCCAAAATACTCCAGACTTCAATAGTCCAACGGATTGGTATCCGGAGATTTTGGTGGCCATTGTGCGCTGGAAATAAAGCGAGGAACCTTATTTTGTAATCATTATTGGGCGGCACGTGCTGAGTGCGATGATGCTGAGTCCTGTTGGCATGCCCAAGGTCTGCGGCCAAAATGTTTGCGTGCCCAAGACTTTGATACACCCTCCAGAATATTTTCGCTACAATATTCGGCATTAATTCTGACGCCACGGTCGATTAATACGAGCGGAGAGCGACCATCGGCTGTCCATTGGCTGGCGGCCCACACACCATCACCATGGCCGGCGCTTGGCCAACCGAAGGTGCACATTTTCAGCTGACCTCTTTGGCAAGTAAACACGAGCCCTGCGATGCGGGTTTCGATCAAGTCGTTTTTTTACTTTTCGAACCATTTCTGCTGATATTGCTGTTTTCTTCCGTCGACTTCCTTGACGTCGGACTACGCTACCAGTATCACGGTTATGAGCGATGCTACGGGACACAAAAGATTTATTCACATTTAAATGCTGGAGTGCTCTCAACATAGCAACTTGTGGTTTTCCAGCCAAATATAAAGAAATCACACTCTCACGCTTGAATTCCATCACGAATAACTTTTTTTCTGGAAAATTCTCATCAAAATGCTTTTGTACGCTTGTAAACAATATAATGAGCTGTCACTGGAATAATTTTAACAGCTGTCGGACGAGTAGCTTAGAAGTGGCAGCAGTCTGAAGTTGGTTGCAGGTTTTTCATCTCTCCCTGTGCGTTCCAAGGAACTGGTAATTTTGTCCATAGAAAAAATACAACCTCAAGGGTCTGGGGGAGTTTTTCTACAGGAAAGTAATAAAGTCCCACGGGACTATGAAAGTTAAGATTTAAAAAGACTGTGTCTAAAAAGGCACTAGAAGCACAGCCACCCGAAAACTTGCGTTTTTCACATTTTCTTTATTTGATTTTATTTTTCTTATTTTCCGTACATAAATATTGTCTTCCATTTCCCATCCAACACATGTGCTAGCCCACATTTTTACCCATTCTTACAGAATATCTATGTTTCAGTGTATGTGTGTACTGTCATACAATTTATGTTTTGTGCGGAATTATTTCATTATAAAATACCGTAATCTCCTATTAAATTAAAAACGATACAAAATTGATTGAATCTCGGATCAAACATCCGATACGTTTCCGAATATCGCATCAAACATCCTATATTTATCCGATTTTCCGATAAAACTATAGAACAAATTCAGATTTTTTTCCGAATTTCGTATCAAACATCCGAAAATTTTCCGAATTTCGCATCAAACATCCTATATCTCTCCGAATTTTACTTTTTTCTTTGCCGAATTCTATACGAATTCGCCCCGAAACTCTTATGTTCTTTCAGATTTTTTTTCCGCAAAATCTTTCAGAATCTTGGGCAATCTCACACAATTTTTTTCCGATTTCTTTCCGAATTTGACATCAGAGTCGGAAACTTGTGCAGAGTTTTTTTCAGAATTCCGAAGAAAATCGAAAAAAAAAAATGTTTGCTGGGAGGCCACATTTTTACCCAATCTTACACAATATCTATGTTTCAGTGTATGTGTGCACCGTCAAACAATTTATGTTTTGTGCGGAATTATTTCATTATAAAATACCGTAATCTCCTATTAAACTAAAAACGATACAAAATTGATTTATTTTGAAGAAAAAAAAAAAAACAGTTAAACCAATTAGTTGTCATCGACGTTACAATTGATATTCAATTACATTGTCGTCTCGCCCACCGCCACCTCAGCTCTTTTATCCTTGTCCACTTTGTAGCAAATTTATTGGTTGTTTAGCAAAAAATGTGAAATATTTGCTATTACACACATACACACACACTTGAAAACACAGACACAAAAAGCTGACAGTTTCAAAAATGATAAATTGATAATTAATAAAATTAACACATGTTGTTGTCGTTGTCCTTGTTGTTGTTGTTGTTAGATGTAACATGTGGAGAAAACTTTGTGGCTGTTATTGTGGATAATTTATTGGTAGTTCTTCTGTAGAAAAAATTTCGATAGAAACTTAAGACTGTAAAAATTAGAAACTTAGAACTAAAAAAATACATTTCAAAATTTGGAGTAGAAGAAAATTTTGTCAAAAACAGAACAATGTTCTTTTATTCAATGCAGTTCAAGGCACATTATTTTTAAAGCAGATTTGTTTCTATAGAAAAATTCAGTCCAAAGCGCCATAAAAGTGATGGAGAATGATGACTTTTTCTATAAATTAATCGCCAAAGTTCTTTTTTTTCAATAGAGAAAATTCTTCCGATTTTCATAAAAAAAATATTCCTTCTGTCGGACTGAATATATATTTATTGAACTAAAATATTCATTAAAAAAAAACTTTACTAATATAAGAAAAATAAAAAACATTGGCAATAAATTTATAGAAACAGTCTGCTGTATTTTCTATAGTCTGCTTTAATCTGCTTTAAAAATAATGTCCTATGAACTACATTGCATAGACAAAAAAAAAAAAATACTTTCTTTTTGAAAACATTTTCTTCTACTAAAAATTTTGAAATGTATTTTTTAGAAAAAACAAGTAAGCAAAGGCTACAGTCGAGCGGCGCCGACCGTTGAATACCCTACAACACTATAATAAACGATACAGATTATATAGGCGAGATACTCGAAAGAATTCCACAAGATATTGTGACAAATAATAAAGCAAACCATCAGGTTTCGTTCTCTAATTTTCGAATAATAGCAACTTAAACTAATTTGCTCATTTACAATTTATTGGTAGATTTTGCACGTAAATGGAACCAATATTTCCCAAAGACCTATAATCTCTCAGAAGTGGCAAAAGATTAACATTTATTTTTGGTTTTTGACTGAAACGCCTCTATATGAGATACAGACATTTGACTATATTCTTCAACGAAATCAGAGTTAATGAAATAGTCAGAAGTGCGTCTTTCCTGTATTTGTGAATTCTCCAAAAAGTCACTGGAATGGACATTTTCGTATTTTGTCTACAAAAGTTGGCAAACTCCTTTACACATTGAATATTTTTGGATGGCCATCCAAACTTGGCTATTGCAATGCCCGGTAACCTCCATTCAAATGTGAGTGAGGATCGGGCGATAATTACGACCTGCTGACAATTTTGCAGTTTTTTGGTCCATTTCAACCCCTAAATATATGACGATCATCTCCAAAAAGAGTAGGCTTCTATTTTGACCCTCATCTTATCCCCATGCTAAATTTCGTAAGGATCGGGCCACAAATGCGATCTGTATATGATATCCTGATATCCTAACTACATAGTTTTGTTAGCTGTATAAATATTACCAAATGTTTAATTCAAAATGAAAATATGCCAAAAATATGACAAAATTGAAAAAATATGAGAAGATTTACAAAATCAATATTTTCATCTTTAGAGAGATATTTTATGCGATTTTTTTAGACGTTTTTTCTTTCCTGCCAAGAAGCCATTCTGAATTAATGAGAACTGTCGAAATCAGTTCAGCCGTTCTCGACGTATAAGAGATCTTTCAAGCATATATTCTTTGATAGACATATATATCGCACATATTTTGCTATATATCCGATTTGTTGGATGTTAACATCAATGTAAAGATCAGAAGTAACCTTGTCATGGCTTTGTGATTTCCCCGGGATTTAAAATATTCGCGGTTTATTAAAAAATTTTGAATTTTTTCAACACAAAATATATGGTCTATTTTACACGCTAAATATTATCCGATGACCACCCTAATTGGTGGGCTTCTTCCCCGCCCTAGACTCTAGCTACATGCGAAATTCCGTGTCGATTGGTCAGTAATTGCGACCTGTATAGCTACTGCAAAATCCGACATTTTTTCAGTATTTGGTCCATTTCAACCCCTAAACATTTGGCGATCATCTCCAAAAGAAATAGGCTTCTATTCTGACCCTAACCCCACCTTCGTGCAAAATTTTGTTAGGATCGGGCCATAATTGCGACCTGTAGCGTGATTACAAATTAACATGGACAGACGGACAGACGGACGGACGGACATACATAGCTAGATCGACTCAGCTCGGCGAGCTAGGAAGATCCATATATACTTTCCTATATGGGAAAACAGTATTTCGAGGAGTTACATAAATTCTGGCCCAATCAAACTTATAATACCCCCAACACATAGTGTTGTAGGGTATAAAAGCCTTCGATATACTGAATTTGTTTATAAAACAAGTTAAAAAGTATGAGTCGGTTTTTGCCGCCAGATTTATACTCCCAGCCAATGTCGATTTATTT